TTGGTTTGTCCAAAATAGCGAATTAATTGCCTATTGACAACTCTAAGCAGTTAAGAACGCGCACATTTTTAACTCTAACCTTTGATTTGGTGCGTACTCGATGTTTATTTGTCAACTAAACAGTTGAATGGTCTGCGAAACAATCGACAAACACATCAGTTGTGCGATAGTTTAGTCATAGGTGTGCACACGCTCTTTAAGTGTAATCGTTACCGATAAACGAACACAGGGACTGCCAGAATGTAGACATCTTTTCCTGTACGTTCCCTGCCTTTACTGAGTCTACAACCCTTTAAAATACCTTCCTTATAAGAAGGTAAGAAGGCGACAAGGACTCATCAAGACTAATAAGAGAATGAACTACACTTTAAATCTGTCTTCTATGTGTATAGCAGTAGGCGAAGAGTACATTCTAGCAAGTTGTCCATCCTAGCACTGTTAAATATGAGAGAAAGGCTACAAGAATATTATCTGACTGAGACTGTCTTACGTAATAGTAAGACAACATCTCCCCTACCTTAACCTACTCCAGTAGAGTCAGCGCACCGGGTTTTCGTCCTCCAAATAACTCCATCATACGCCATCTCAGTCGTCACTCCCTTCTTGATCATGTCACTTTTCACGCAATCCATCCATCTCTTTCTACCTCTACCGGTGTACCACACTCATAACTAACATTTTTGTTGTATACCGTCTTACCATATGTCGATTTTCTTATCAAACTTTTTCACCGGGTCAGTTAAGTTCGTCGGACTATAAGCAATAAATGTTACTCTATAAGTAGGAACACAAACAACAACAAAACTTAACATGCAAGTTGTTACTTATTAAGTTTATTGGAGAACAGGTTTCCTAGTCTAGAATACAAATTGACTCATAAAATTGTTTTATAAGAAAAAACTCGCTATTGCGAAAACAAACACACCTTGTATCAAATTGATAGTACGTTAAGATATAGCTGTTGCTCGCGACTTTGCCCCCGTGAAAATAAAATAGCCGACTAGTTTTCGTCCCTGATTACATCCGCGTAGAATAATAAAACAAAAGCGAGTAGCCTATGCCAAATTTAATCGAGATCTGTTCACCTATTTACAAATTCTAACAAATTTAGTTTTTTAATGTTTACTCGATCATTCTGCAACCGTTCAACATATCTTATTGAAATTTGGCACAGATATAAAACAAAGTCACATGGTATAATCTTCATCACCGAGAAATGTCCGGTTCCCGAGGGATACGTAGCTTTTTGTAATTTTTATAGTTCGTATGTTTTCTAATACCATGCGGACGAAATCTCGTCTCAAATAAAATACAAGAAAATTTGATCTTTTTTATTCAATTCTGCGTAGACAAAGTCACAATCAAAAGCTAGTTATTGAATCAAATTTATATTGCAGACATTTCAAAGGTCGCATTGACAATTGCAAGGTTTATTGCATTATAAAGAAACTGAGTTTTTAAATAAAAAAAATCGTTAATAGAATTTCAAGGTTTGTTATTACAGAAAAGAATTGAGGAAAAATAAGAAAGTCTATACAAAAATGTTTGCATACATACTTCATTTATTAAACTTATGAAAACTCCACTCATGTGCGTAATGGCTTCTTTCATTATTTTTACGAGCTGTTGCTCGCGACTTCGTCCGCGTGGAATTAAAAAAAAAAAGTAAAAACATACCCTATGTCACTCAGAGATAACGTAGCTTATTAATGGTGAAATAATTTTTGAAATCGGCTAAGTTGTTTTCGAGATATTTCATTATATACAAAAATCCAAATCTTTCAACATTAGTATAGTTTAGTAAAGATATAGCAGAGAGCATTATCTAATTCTTAATGCAGACTAAACATTTACTAAACCAAGGAAACGTGGTATTACTTCCACTCCACGCCTTCTGTGTGGTCGTGGCATTGCACTGATCGAGCCTACAGTGCAAAGAAATTAAAACGGGCTCTGCCATTGCTAAACTTTAGTTTCAAGGCTCTAATACAGTTTGTGTTCTTCCATAATTATAATATTCTCAGGTGCAGTGCTACTGTGCCCTTAAGTTGCATCATTATTCCGAATTGAAGGGACCGGCCGATGAGTCATTGATAGTTATGTCAGAATTTCGGGACCCGGTTTTCGGCAATGCGGTCAGAGTTCCTTAGTACGTCTTACAAAACCTCTGTTCCTGATAATACATAAAGTTTATTTTACTGTTAACGTCAGTAAAAATTACACTTGCAAGATTTTCGGTGAAGGAAACATCAGAAAACCTTCACATATCAGCGAAGTCATTCAAAGTTATGTGTGAAGTCAACCCGCAGTGCAGCCTGGTTGATTATGCCTAGCCACCTTAACTTAGGGTAGACTCCGAGCCCCTCAGTGTGGACTTATATTGAGCTGGTAAAGACGTCAAAAAAGTGTCAAAAGAGAATTGTCTTGTAGTCTTGTGGCTAACTTTTACATATTTCCTGAACTAACAGCGATATTATCGCCACCTACCGGGTCAGATAAAGTCAAAAAACATGTATACTATTTACGCTTGTTACTACGGAACCCATATTTATATTAAAATATTTTTAATGCCAAAGTAATCGAACTTCGTACCTTAATTGAGCACGTGCGCCCCATGCGTGGTGAAATCGAGTTTTGTAAATTACACTCAATGTCAAAATTAGTAGTACAGTTTTTAAAATTACATTTTCTTTTAAACCTTCCTTTGAAAGGTTCTTTAATTTTTAAAATTATACATTTCTATAAAGATAGAAATATATAATTTCTTATTTAATAAATAATTTCCTTTGAAGGGTTCTTAAATTTTTTAAAATTATATATTTCTATAAAGAAGAAATCATATATTTCTATCTTTATAAAAATGTATAATTTTAAAAATTAAAGAACCCTATCGGCTTTCTTTCAAACACTTTTATTTTGCTAGTATAATTTTTAAGTATTATAGTATAATTGTTGTTAGATATTTTTAATTAATTCCCAAGGAGGGTTTGTCGAATAGCTGGTTGTAAAAGCTTTATTACATATTAGTTAAGTTATTAGCAGTTACACTTAGTAAAATTAAAAGTTGATACTTGTCTTACTAGACAATAATATAAGGAATATTTATAAGTAGGGTAACTTTTTACTTCACATACTATAGATTGCTATCTATAATTTGCTATAACTAAATTTTCAGTGTACCACTTATTTTTGACATCAAGTATAATTTCATCGTCGTTTTTTCAATGTTTTGTTTTTGACACTGTATTAAATACGCATTTTATCTCCCCCTTTTTGTGTGCACATTGAAACAGGTTCATAAAACATGTACCAATGCAATCGGCATTACGGGGATGAGAAATTTATTTTCGATACCATTCACGATTTTAATTTCAAGTAGTAGACAAAGATTCTACAGAAACGAGAGTAATTCTTTCCATGTAAGGATGGAAAAACTAATACCACGCCCACAATAATAGCACGCCTGGTGTAATACCACGACCACACAGAAGACAGGCGTGAAATGGAACCAATGCCGTGTTTCGTCTGATGAGTGTGGTGCCGGATGCCTAATTTAAGTCCCTTTCTCTTTACCACCCTTTTCTTATGAGAGGATGGAAAGGGGAAGTGGATTTGACGATGGAGGAGATAGAAGGGGAAATATCCTCTATATGTGCGTCTCTTGCTCCGTCGAATACGGGTAGACAACGTATCTGCAATTGCGGATGTCTATGGGCAGCGGTTGCTTCTCCATTTTGACGGATTGAGGTGGCCGCTTGCTCGTTTGACACCTTATGTTAGAAAAAAAATGTACGTACAATCCTACTGGCCTTTAACCATTAAACAGTTAAGAGCAAAATGACGTATTTCCTACACAAATAAATCGACCATGGAATATGTTTTTCAACATAAAAGTACTTGACCCAAAGAATGTACGTGTACTTTGTCGCAAGTTACAAAACGTGTAACCAAGGTAATATATCTACCATAACAGATATAAAAACACAACGTTCAAAGGAATGATTTCTCGAATGTAACAAGAAAGTTGTCGCTATCCCTTTCTTGTGGATACAAAATAAAAGAAGCAACAATAATTAGGTACAATCTCGACAATCCGCGATGTCCTACTTCAGGAATAATTGCCTTTTTGTTGCAACGAGACAAACTCCGCCTTTTTCTACAAATAAATAATTAGATAGCAGTGCAAACGAAGGTATAATAATAAAGAGAAACTATCCGTATACCACTACGTAATTTTTTCCGTACAAAGACATTTATAAACATGTTTCTATTGATTTTTGTTCCGTGATTGTAGCTTTTAAATTGAAACACCGTCAATTTCCCCGATTGTACATGTAGTACTTAGTAGTAGTAGTAGTAGGGGGCTACAGTTTCCGCAACTCCACGGCTAGCGCGTATTTTGCGTGAGGAACAGGACTTGGATTACTCCAGCAAACCTAGCTCTCCGAAGACCCCAGCAGACCCTTTATATTGCTGGTGATCTTCGGGAGCGATCTCGGCGAACCGAGATACCTAACCCCGTACGATTGTACATGTATATTAGTAATAGAAATCCGAGATACATATCTACTAATGCCTGATAACTGAGACGACGCTTAATTATATAACATCGTCATTGTCACGTATAACTCCAAATTGCATTGAAACTTTGAGGACTTCAACAGTGGTAGTGCCCGCTTTAACATCTTAGCACTGCAGGGCCGGCACGCACGTAGGAAGGGGAAGTGGATTTGACGATGGAGGAGATAGAAGGGGAAATGTCCTCTATATGTGCGTCTCTTCCTCCGTCGAATATGGGTAGGCAACGCATCTGCAATTGCGGATGTATATGGGCAGCGGTCGCTTCGCCATTTTGGCGGTTCAGGAGGTCGCTTGCTCGTTTGCCACCTTATGTTATATAAAAAAAAACTATCAGGTGTTTAAGAATTCATTTCAATATTCCTCCGTAAATCGTTTAAATCAAAAAAAGATTTTTAACAAGTTTCATTTATCTTTTTCAGGTAAACAAAACAAGAGAATGTGCGAGTGTTAAAACATCACTAAAATGGCACTCAAAGACAAATTAACTATAGTGTTGGTGATATTTAGTGTATTAAGTGTAACCCTAAGTGATCAAGTCGAGAACTATGCTTTAGACAGTGACGTCACAGAACGAAACAAAACACAACTGGACAGCGAATCCGAAGAGAAATTCAAAACAAACGAAGACAGTACCGAAACCATTCAAAAAAACAACTCCAAAATAGACATAGAAGCTGAATACGAAATAGACACGTCAGAAGTAAATATAACAGAAACAACAACAGTAGTTTTAGACATTCCGGAAGCATTAGGTCTTAAGACATTTGCGAATGTAGACTATGAATACAGTCAGCCAAATAAAAATGTAGATGACAAAATAGATGGATTAACTGATGCTGATGTCGCTGACGTCACAGAGGCAAGTTCGTTGTCCACAATAGACAATAATATTTATAAATACAAAGACATTGTGCCCGAGGACATGTATTCGAGTCACAGCGGCCGAGAAGATGAAGTGGTGAGTTATTTGTTTGTGTTAATTTTAAAACTGAAGTTGCTTATGTATTAGATTTCTTCAGCTTAAAGTAAACATACATTTTCAATAACTTTAGGATAATTTTCCCGTAATACATAATAGCAAAGTAACGACCCGTGCCGAGGCTCCTGTGGGAACCCTCGGCCACCTCAAGCCCGATGAATCTGTAAATGTCTCTTCAAAGTCTCACCCCCAATTATAGATTCCTTCAAAGTATTACAGACTAACTGTTGCTCGCGATTTCGTCCGCGTTAATTTAAAAAAATTATAAATATATACCCTATGTGACTACCTGATAACGTATCTTTTTAATGGTGTAACATTTTTTAAGATCGACTCAGTCGTATTCACGAGAATCAAATACATACAAAAAACAAAAATACAAATCTTTCCTCTATCGTATATTAGTATAAATATAGAAGTATAGATCCTGAAGAAACCTTTGCCGCTAAATTTCTTTTACTTATGAGCTGTCATCTTTATTTCCCGCTACCATACACCCTTGCAAGGTCAGCTCCTTATCTATTTGGACCAATTTGGGTATCTCCAATGCGCTACAACACCCCTATACTTCAGAGGTCAATTAAAATTCCTTACAAAGAACAAGTAATGTTAACATTTGTTATGTAATATTTACAAAAGGTATTTCAATTGGATTGTATAACTGTACATGTTTTACGATTATGCATTGCTTCATATTAATTAACAATCGTATGACTATTATAAGATTAACAATTAACGTAGAATAATCAAAACAACATTTGAAATCAAGGACATTTTTATAAGATGTAAAGCTAACGCCTAGTTATCTGCAATATCAGAAAGAGGAGACGCACATAAAGAGGATATTTGCCCTTTCCAATGCGTCTCCTCCATCGTCAAATCCATTTCCTTTTACCATCATTTTCTTATAAGTAAAGGGTAAAAAGTGGGCATAAATTAGGACTCTAGGACACATATCAAAAGAAACGAGGAATCTCACTTGACGCGTGTCGTATGGTCGGAGTATCGTTGTTAGTGTTAAATTAATAGTGTTTTGTTTTAGAAAAAAAAATTTACACAACTATGTTTCTCATTGTTCATGACGTCATAATGTGGGTATGTACTGCTATGGTGTAAAAGAGATGAAATTATGGAACATTTCTCAATGCAGTGGAGTTCCACGCTAATATTATGAAACCGGAACCTTCGAGACAATTATATACGTATTGATAATCGTTTACGTGCTTTAATATGATTACTTGATCAATTAAATTGCATAACATTAACTTAAGCACAGATAGTGCAGTAGTTAATATACAAACATATTTACATACAGTGTACATACATATTTTAAAATTGGAGTGTCTGTTTTAATATCAAAAGAAAAATTCCAGATTTCGGGAATTCTTCCAGATTTTTTTTTATAATATAAAGTGGCAAACGAGCAAGCGGCCGCCTGTATCCACCGAAATGGAAAGCGACCGCTGCCCATAAACATCGGCAATTGCAGATGCGTTGCCTACCCTTCATTGACGGAGGAGGAGACGCACATAAAGAGGACATTTCCCCTTCCCATGCGTCTTCTCCACCGTCAAATCCACTTTTCTTTCCCATCCTTTCCTCTGAAGAAAAGGGGGGAAAGGAAAAGGGATTAAATTTAGGCCTTCGGCACCACGCTCATCAGACGAAACGCGGAATTGCTTCCACTCCACGCTTGTTTTCTGTGTGGTCGTGGCCCATTCGTGCGAAGATGTTAAAGCGGGCACTACCACTGCTATTTTCTTCTTTGCGTTTATTGCGTTGCTTCTTCGCTGCGCTGATTCTTATTTGCGTTGCTGATAACGAAAATCGCATTTAGTTTTTTTTTTTTTCGGAGTAGCATCAAAAGCCAAGTTTGTTTTTAAACTATAACTTATTTTCCAGACAGAAACCACATTAAGCGCGACTACCAAAGGCTTTGACGAGACCATCGCTGATGAGAACCAACTCAGCAGCCCGGGGCAGAGGATACCAAAGACTGACAATTGTGAGTACATATATTATCTATAGAAATACAGTGATAGAGTTGTGCTGCATGTACCATATATGCGGTGGAACACGAGCACTGGAGATACAAGACAACTGACAATCGCAACCGGAACATTCATCACAGTTTACCACCAGCATGACTGGTTTCTCTCTTAAAAACAATTGAAAATAAGTTTATTAGTTACTAGCACTTCTATTTAGATCGCGAATTAAAACATACGAACTATGAGAAACAAAAAACTAAGTATCCCTCGGGAACCTGACATTTTACGTGGATGAACCGTATCCCGTGTGTTCCTACAGACTATATTTCATATCTGAAACAAATTACGTTATGAATAGTTGCAGAATTATCAAGTAAACATGCAAAACGAAATATCCCACGGGAACCGTAACTACATCAGGGATCAATAGTAACCTACGTGGTCTTCCAGACTATTCTCTACATGCCAAATATCGAAATCCTTTAAGCAGTTTACAAATCTAACATCCATCCATCTAAACTTTCGCATTTATCTTAGTAATATTGTTTTATTCCCTCTAGCTGAAGCCAAGCAAACAATTGACAAGCGTAACGACAACGCAAAACCACGTACCCTCCACACAAGCAAGAGTTCCACACTCAGGTCCTGGTTAGAAGACACCTGGTTACGACCGCCTGCCGGTGTCCTTGTACCATTAAGACCGAGGGCGTTGCAACGAGCACTAGATGTCTGGAAAGATCTGACAGCGGATGGCTCATTGAAGATGACAGACATTGTTATCGTCGGATTCGATTCGAAAGGTAAGATTAACAATATAACCAGAGGATAACAGGAAAATTATCGAGAAAGTGTCGTCGACAAAATGTGTGTTTGTCGGTGCATTTTACGCCCGATACGCTGCACAAATCGTATACAACTAATTTGCCTGCTAGACTATTAACCGTCAGGCAAACTAATTGTCAATTTTCATTTTTATCAAATCTTTATGATATCCGGAGAACAAAAAATAATTAAACTCAATACCGTGATGGTTACAAACAAGCTGTAATTATTCATTGCGCGCGACTCCGTTTGTTTAAAAACCTAAAGCAATCAGCCTGTGTTCTTCTAGATTAATCTCTACATCTAAACCAATTTAGGATACAAGCTCTAACATACATCCATTTAAACTTTCGCATTTATAACAATAGTAAGATTTAGAGTGCTTGTACACCTTTGACTAAACTATCGCACACGCTCGATGTTTAGTTGTGCAACTAAACAGTTGAATTGGCTGCGAAACAATCGACAATCGCACAATAGTTGTCAAACGTGTGAGCTTTTGGTAAGATTTATGCTTATGACGAAAAGAGTTCACATCTGCATACATCAAAAGGAGATGTAACCATTTTCCTCGGACGATGTCGCGTGACGTCATTTTATTAGATGTCATAATATGATGTGAATGATCAATGTTTTCAAATGCACTATTACTTATCCACATTAATGATGTATTAAGTCGTCATTTTGACGTCATCCGTGACGTCATGTCATTGTTAACCGGATCCATCGAGATGGACAATTGATTCACAAGGGAGCAAAAACAATCGATTCATTAACGCCCGTTATCACTAGACAATGTATTACGCTTTTCAAATATTTATCTGCACACCGGCTAGTACAACCAAACTTATTTTTTAACTAATTTTAGCCCTCGACTCCATCCGCATAGGATTAAAAAAAGCATGTAGCTCATGCATCATCATTCATCAAATCATAAAAGCATGTATTCTTCCAGACTATCTACATATATATCAAATTTCATGGAAATCCGTTGAGCAGTTTAGGCTACAAACTCTAACAAACATCCATCTAAACTTCCACATTTCTAACATTAGTAAGATGTCAATTACATCATCATCTCCCCTGCCTTATCCTACTGCCGTAGGGTCGGTGCACCGGGTTTTCGTCCTCCAAATCACTCTATCATACTTCATCTCAGTCATCACTCCCTTCTTTATCATTATATATGCTAAATCGACGAAGCCGATTTTTCCCATGCGTGTCATAGACTACAGTCAGTTCGGGGTTTTATGTCGTAAAACCACATTCAAACTCGACCTTGCAAGGGAAGAAAGAAATGTTAAGAAACTAATCCTTACCTATTAATATTGAAACAGAACCATCCATATTTTTAAACCATTTTTTTTGTTTATCGTTGTTCATTTTTAATAGTAACAGGTAACAAACGATAGAGCCATTTGAATTCGCCAAAATATCTAAGTGACTTGCCCATAGATGTTGACATTCACAGATACGTTGCCTACTTCAGTAGAAACAAGAGAAAGGGGGATATTTCCCCTCCCTATGCGTCCCCTCTATCAAATTACTAACTACGTTTAAACAATATAATTGTAACTAGCGATATAAATGATTAGAATGTCTAATATGTTTAGTTTTTTTTTTTTCTTTCGACAATTTGTTTTTGTCATTATTTTGATTATAAATAGTTCATATCTTTTTTTTCTCGTTTGTATTTTATGGTCAAGCGTATTTATTATGTTGCAATGTATTTTTGAGGTGATTAAATGTTTAATATTATTAAATTTAACACTAAACAAGCGGTCCCGCCAGGAAAACGCGCGAATATTAATGCTTCTAAATGATATTGACAGCTGTCAAGCTAGGGATGTGACGTTTATGCCGATAATCTAGTGTTGCGCCAATTTTACGACACGGCAGTATTTTTTTTTATAATATAAGGTGGCAAACGAGCAAGCGGCCACCTGAATCCACCGAAATGGAAAGCGACCGCTGCCCATAGACTTCTGCAATTGCAGATGCGCTGCCTACCCTTCATTGACGGAGGACGAGACGCACATAAAGAGAACATTTCCCTTTCCTATGCGTCTCCTCCACCGTCAAATCCTCTTTTCCTTCCCCACCCTTTCCTTTTAAGAAAACGGTGGAAAGGGAAAGAGACTAAAATATAGTAAATAGTAATTTTCTTCTTAACACTACATATTTTTTAACTAAATAAGGTGGGCTTTAAAATTTTGATCCGACGAAAAGAGAATCTCCTGACAGATGTGACCTTTTTCATCAGATGGATTTTCGACTTTTAAATAACGGTACAAGAATATCACAAGATATAAATACCCGCTGAGAAATGCAATAAAAAAACCCTTCACAAATACCGTATTTACCGTAAACTAATTAAAATCCTGTATCGAAGTAATATTAACTTAAGGCAAAGAATTTTTATTCAATACTTTTTTTACCGCAAACAAACTGCATATCTATACTATTATAATAAAGCGTACACACACACTTCTTTGTTGCATAAGATGTCAGCAATCACAGCATATTTTTGAATAGTTCTTTATTTAATAAAAAGCCTTACTTACGTCATGCTTTAGGCTATATATGTTTTCACGCCATTTAACTTAGGTGGTAAATATTTAGGATGAAATCCTAATGTGTGAAAAAGACTAAAGTTGCTGCCAACATCAAGGAAGCAAAATTGTCATTTGCAATTGATAATTTGACACATGTAAACATTAAAGTTAGAATTTTCATAGTTTTATGCGGGTGAGGTCGCACGGCAACAGCTAGTAGTAGCTAAAACGCAAAATATTTCCAGTAAAACACTTTTTCCCACATTTAATTAATTACCCTTATTCTACAGCTAGCTTTTGCCAGCAACTCCCCACGGAGAATTAAATAAACACAAGCATATGTGTTCATCTACACTATGTTCAACATATATGACATATTTCATCGAGATGCGATTAGCTGTTTACTACAAACTCCAACAATCTACACTTTCGCATTTATAATATTAAGTAAGAATATAACACTACTCTTTATCTCTCAAATTTTCACAAAAAAATAAACAACGACATGTTCGAAACTTAACTTACTTGGACGTATATATAAAAAACTTAATCCACAGTGCTCATACAGTCATATATCTTACCTGAAACAATTAAAAAATAATAAAAAAACACAGTCATAAACATACATTACGACACAATAATTTATTATAACAATCAATTATTAGCAATAAAATTTAAATACTAGCAACATTGTTACCATATTCTGTTGTTATTTCCTCAATTAATCATAAAAACGCATTTCATTACGACCAGTGGTGTCATATATTGACAGAATTATTTGGGTGGTCCCTACAAATTACTAAGCCGTCCTTAACCTATTAAAAATCTGGAAATTAAAGAAATAAATCTAGATATCTCCTTCGTAGATTATCGAAGTTTAAAACGCAAACATTTCAGGACAAAACTTTACATTTACACTATTAATTATAATACTAATGTTATACAGAAACTGACTTTAGCTCACGACTCCATCCGCGTAGAATTAAAAAAAAACAAAAACGAATAACTCATGTGATCTTCCAGACAATCCTCTACATGTACGTCAAATTCCATTGAAATCCGTTAAGCACTGTAGACTACAAACTAACAAACATCCATCCATCTAAACTTTCGTATTAACAAGTAAGAAATAAGATTAGTATCATTACATGAACAACATAGTTCATAACCCCCCTGAAGGTTTTACAATAAAAATACTTCACTCAATAATATAAAATTCTTTCCTAGGCATCAGTTGGAGATCCCGTCACAACCTGCAGGCAAGCGGGACATCTGACGACAAAACAGTCTCTGATGCCATTGCTAAACTAATCGTCAAATATCAGGTAATTCAAACTTTAAGTTGGTACAAACTAAAAGGTAACCTGCACATATCTAGAGTTTACTGAGACATAGTTTTATTTTGGGCAGAAGGTAGCATATTGGCAGGCCTAATCTAAGGGCAACGGGGGCAGTGGTAACAGACCTATTCTTAGGGCAGCGGGGGCCGTGTTGACAGGTCTAGTCTTAACTCAGTGGGAACCGTGTTGACTGCCACCTAGTATTCCATAGGACAGTCTCACTACCACTAATAGTAGTAACTTCCGAAATTAAAAAAGAACAACTAAACACATGAAGGTGCTCGACCTAAAACAATTAACATACATGGACAATCAGATATACAAAACATGTATGACAAATTTAAAAGAATTAAACGCTCAATTAGTAATGGCTTAACAGTTGCACGGAAGAGACTTATAACCTTGTAGTTTTTTTGTTAAATAAACTATAATATATTCCTATATAAATTACTTATTTTCATTTCACCAAAGTATACAAAAATCTGATCTATTGTCCAAGGCGATGGGATCGTTACCTCCGTCATTGGGAATCATTGGGATGCAACTTGAGTAGAAAATCTAAGCTTAAGTATTCACTAAGTCTCTTAGTAATGATATATTCCTCGAGGATCTTAAACTATTGCTGTCATCAGGGCGTACGATCAGAATCAGCTAGTGACGGGACACTACGCGCACTGGCATCTGCAGCCAAACTGGTGCCATACGACAGTGCACTCTTCCTCATCACCGACAAAGAAGTGGGAGATCCATTAAAGCTTCCTCTAGCATTGAGAGCATTGGTGGAGAAGAGATTGAAGGTAAGAACTTTGGACTTAGGCATAAATGATATAAGACAGATATTGAGAAAATCTTGGCTTTAGTACTAACGCTAACTGACTACATATTTCAAGTACAAACTCCAGTTCTATTCCTTCCTAAAGCAAACTGAAAGTAATTTTACTAAAGGAAATGTAGTTAAGAAAAAAAACTTTAATTTCATATGGTCAAATCAAAATGGAAGAAAGCAAAAAATATGAACAGAACTAATTATACAAAGAATTGTAATATCTTTCCGATAGTGATTTTTTTATTATTTTCTTTTAGGTTTATACAATTTGGACAGACCCACATTATCCATCCATAGAGTCGGAGCTGGCTCTTGTTGAATTGAGGAATATCTCCACACACACTGGAGCAGAAGTATTACCTTATTCTTTACAAGCTACGGTAAGTACATTCTCTACTCTGTTCATTTTAAATAGACAACGTAGCAAACTTTCAACTTCTTGTAAATGTGTATTCGCAACTGTTACTATATTGAATGAATGAATGAATGAATATGTATTTATTGCCACAAAATAGAAATTACATAAAAGGACTTATTCTAAAGAAAACACAATCGTGGCAAAAGGTAGCCAGCTCAGCGTATGCAGGACGGACTAAGCCGTTCCTGCGCTGTATTTCAGCTGGCTTCTTAGCACTCAAGTAACATATACCTTAATTATTAGGGTAACCGGCCGTACTAATTACATACCTATACAGAAATAATAATAAAAAACACTTTTAAATAGAAAACAATCATACTAAATTAAAAGGAGGATGAACATACTGCATTTATAAAATCTTTACAAATTTTTAACAAAAACAAAAAATAACACAATGCATCGTAGTCATAGGTTAATTTGTGAATATATTGACGAAAGCTAATCTTGCTAGTACTATAAAAATACCCTAAACCTTATGGAAATAAACATTTTCAATTAATAAACCATCGCTTGATCATCCCATATGATTGTATTTGATATGATCGAACTCTGGTACACGCTCCCAATTACCTTTTGAAGGCCATCATTAGACGTAAAAATTGACGCTGGCAATTCGCTCCAATCTGCTTTCTCTAATGTAAGTTTATTTTTACAGGAGTTAGAGAACGGTATACCACCCGTAGCTGAATTGCAGCAATGGGAGCCACTAGCCGAGGCACAATTGGGACCGAGACGAGCCAGACTACGTCAGATCGAAGAGGACAGTTTTGATGTTAGTAGTTCATCACAGTATATTATTAGCTCTGTTAATGATAAGCCACTAGAACATTGTTTAGAATTGTCACGTGTTTTGTACATAAGCTGGCGGTGACATATTCATTAAGACTGACATATGTACTTCCAGACGCTGTTAGTCTGGAGAGGTGGGGGTGAGGCTATCTCTCTCGGTATACCTGTGGAGGCTGGCGTCACTGCTTTAAGGATCCTGATAGAAGGGGACGTGGATCATGCCGCTCTCTTCCCACCTAATGAGGGTAGGTAGAATTCACAAAAACTAAGTCGTAGATGACGCACTAGACTTGTTGGTCCAGGGTTCACCCCACCTATTAATGTAATTAACGAATTAATTATTCTATGTGAAGTTTTTTAACGAGACTTGTATTTGCACGTGAAAAAGACGAGCCGTGGCAGCCAGACATGATCGGGCCGAAGTATTCGATTATAATACGGTAGTTTGAGCACATTTATGCATGCAGAATATGTTCGTCTGTCACAATACTAAGACGTCATTGTTATGTTCGCGCGTCTGTTTGTCCAGGCAATACGTGACGAATGGACAAGCAAGGTCACTTATTACTGTCAAATAAACACCCGATACAAATAATATTTATAACAGACGGAAAGGCAAAATCAATCATAAAGATTAATTCAGAAATTAGAATTTTTATAGAATGGAATATAAAAATTCGACTGCATTGATTTTAAACACTATCTTTGCATTAGCCAAACCTGTGCTACGTAATATGTGTATTATTTGTACACATACTTCCTCTAGCATATCCTCTACAACAAAATACACACTTTCTTTGGTCTTCTGACGTATACTCTAATGTTTGTAAACTATTACAGCACCTCAAGTGGACCTGTTCAACGAGACATCAGTCAAGCAGTTCTCATCATCATCCAGAACAGACGGACTAATCCCCAGGGATGTCTACTTAGCGTTCCCTGGAGCACCACAAATAGACATGTAAGTATAGGCCAGACTGAATGGTTCATCACCAATATTTTAAAGTTATCCGAGTACACTTTGGGTCGACGACAGACGACGACGGGTGTGTAAGATGTTGGAAATAAAAGGTGCAGTAATTTAACAACACGGTTTAAAACCAGTAGTATTTAAAAAGGTTTAAAATGATACTTAATTTGACATCTAAATAAGAAAATACACAGTAAGTAGCTAAAAACACAAGTTCTTTTCCAAAGGTAATAAAAACATAAGGAATTAACTCGACGCAAAATTACAATTCTTTCATCTACCCTCATTCAACGAGTTAACATATTTGACCGCAGATTGTCAGTCGTGCCGGTGACGCCGACCATAGCGGACGCGTCTAACGACTTGGTAGGCGTGTGGCATCTCAGCGTGCGTTGCGACAGCTGCGATTATAGACTGAGCGTCTTCGCAAGAGCCAGAGTACATTTCAGAGCTGAGGTTAACGAAGGTAATATATCTTTCTCTCTCGCACTCGTTTTATCTCTCATTAGTATTAAACATTCATATGTCCGCCACACGTATTCTATATTTGAAATTAGGTTAAGGAAAAAAACTACTGAACTTTGTTTACTTCCTCTAACGATATTTATATGATAGCTAATCGCTTAATACGATCTATAATCCATAGACTTGCTGTTGCCCGCGACTTCTTCCACGCAATATTTAGATAAAAAAATAGCCTATAGTATCCCTATGTCACCTAGCCTTCAGTGTCTGGTCGAAATTGGCCTAGCCTTTCCAGAGTTTAACCGAAACAAACGCGACTTGCAGACAGACAGACAGACAGATTTTCGTTATCAACATCGCAAATGCATCTTCCCGAAATCTGTTTTTTTTTTTATATTACAAACCAACACTCCAATTTTATTATATGTATAGATTACAATTTTGTAATACTAAACACATGTAAATCAATGTAACCAGACATTCTGGCAACTTTAAAACCGTGTACCGATAACAGTGGACACCGAACAGAATTAACAAATTGTTGTCTCTCTTTACTCAAAGGGATTGTAAGAGATGTCGATATCAACAAAAAACAATCCCGAGTTCAACATACTCACACCCGTAGGCAGTGTATGATTCCAAATATCACATATGTATGTTACCGTTAATAAACCAAATAGGACATTACACAAAATGGAAACATTAAGGTATTTTACATCAAAGTAAAAAAAAAATACGGTTCTAATACACGTTATGCCAAATTCTAATTATAAATAAACTCGAGAAAAAAAGTAATTTATTTTAGGAATACTATTAACGCGTTAATTACGATTGAGTTACAATCTATACTAATATAATAAAGCGTAAACACACTACTTCGTGGCGTAAGATGTCAGCAATCACAGCATATTTTTGAATAATTATTTCTTTAATAAAAAGCCCTACACTTAATACACGGTTTAGGCTATATATTTTCGCGCTATCTAACTTAGAGGGGTAAATAAAATTAAATAAAACAAGTGGGAAAGGGACTAGAAACTACGAGCTGCCAAAATTAAGGAAGCAAGGTTGCCATGGTTGTCATTTGTGCAATGTTGAGATTTGCAATTGATAATTTGACAAATGTAAACAATAAAATAACGTTTTTATTATATCATTCAGGACTATACTATTATAATAAAGCGTAAACACACACTTCTTTGTTGCCTAAGATGTCAGCAATCACAGCATATTTTTGAATAATCCTTTTTTTAATAAAAAGGCCTACACTTGCATCACGCTTTAGGCTATATATTTTAATGCCATTAAACTTAGGGGGTTACTAAATTAACCATTTTGGGTAAAAACCCTAATGTGGGAAAGAGAGCATAAGTTGCTGCCAACATCAAGGAAGCAAGGTTGTTTTCATGTCATGTCATGTAAACAATAAATCATAACACATGCAGCATTTTTGAATGCAAACATACAAACAAGGACACTACTGTCATAAACGTGACAGGAATACAAGTCCAGGCACGTAGATATGCAATCCAATAAGGAAGGAAACAGCAAAATAGTTCTTAAATGACGATTGCAATCCAAACCATTAAGGACAGTTTACACTTGTCTAGTAATTTACTAAAATAGATTAGCAAATCATTTATGTTTTTTTTTTTACATCATTCGTTAGTGTTATTGGTTCAGGCATGAAATGCGTTTCCAAACTACGTAACTTAAATTTTACTCCTTTTAAATTTTGATAAATCTAACGCTAATTAAATCAATAGCTAATCTATACATGTAATAAAATTGGAGTGTCTGTTTGTAATATCGAAAGGAACATTCCAGATTTCGGGAAGACAATGTATTTGCGTTGCTGATAACGAAAATGCATTTAATTTTTTTGATCTGTCTGTCCGCAAGCCGCGTTTGTTCCGGGTAATCACGAAACAGCTGGGCATTTCGACCGGACTTTAACTGAAGGGCAGCTGACATAGAAGGGCATATTATAGGCTATTTTTTATCTTAATATGCGTGGACAGCTAGTTATAAATAAACCAGGTCGTCAGTTTGCATTTAGACATTCCGTAAAACGCCAACAAATTCAATTACACGGTGACATAAATGTCGATGACTTGCCTCATGTATGATCCGCAAAAAGTAATCCGGTATAAAATGTTATTAATTATACACAAACATGATCCGATGATTACACTTTACTGCGTTCAAAATATTGGTCAGAAAAAAAACTCACTCGTCATTAAAAAACGTGAAAAAGCTGCATATAACCGTAAATTTCCATTGGCAAAATATCTGTAGACTAAACTGCGAAAATATGTACACACTAGCTTTCGCGCGCGACTCCGTCCGCGTTAAATAAAAGAAACAAAAGTGAATAGCCTATATGTTCTTCCATAGTATCCTCTACGTCTGTGCCAAATTTCACCGAGATCCGGTCAGCCGTTTAGACTGCAAACTCTAACAAACATCCACCCATCTAAACTTTCGCATTTATAATATTAGTAAGACTAGCTTTCGGCCTCGACGTCCACATGAAGTTAAAAAAAAGCCAGTAGCCTATATGTTCTTTCAGACTGTCCTCTACATGTATGACAATCATCGAGATCCGTTCAGCAGTTTAGGATAAAAACTAACAAAAATCCAACATATTAAGGACAGTACTGGCCATATCTCTACTGTAAAGGTTTAAAAGATAACAGTACTGTTTGTCATAAAAAAAAAACGTTTTAAACGTATACACCCATTACTTGATCGAATACTAAAAATAAAAATTTAAAACCCAAATATAAATTAAAAATTACAAAAAAGTATTAAATCATATCGATCCAATCAGAGATTTAAATTAGTTCAAACTTACCTTCTTACGTCATAAAAAAACAATACAAACATATCCGGTTAAAAAAAAAACAAAACAAAAACATTCAATCAAATTGTTGCGATATATCAATATCAAAAATTACAATTATTTTTAGCACAAAGCTGTTAGGCAAAAACATGCTATGATTCAGGGCTGTCACCTTCGATATCCAGACTGATAGACGAAATAAAATACTTATTACTTCTATATCTATTGCCTTTTTAACTTTGAACAAAACAATTGACTTCACAAATGGGAAAAGGGATTGGATCCTGCAGCACAGGGAACCTAGAGCAGGAGCCAAGGCTCTCATGAGATTTATATTTTCAAAAGTGAAATAATAAAGGATTTTATTTAACTAATTTAAAGACTATAAAAATAATCGAATAACCAAATATTCATTTCATACTAAAAAAAAAATTATCCCTCGAAAATCGAACCACTGTCCAATCAACTCATTAATTAAATTATTAAAAAAAACATACTGGTGACTATACAGAAACGATTTTTTTACTATCATTTTTTTAGTTTCGATAACAGTGACAGCCCTTGAACCAATAAAATAGATAAAAAAATAATAACCTCGAAAGTCGCGCTGACAGGTCGGCCATCTTCTCAAAATGGCCGCGTTTTGTAGATCAAGGGCGCGTATTGCACTCCAAAACCGGCATTCACACTTTCTAACCCCGACAATAGTATTTACTATTACAATAAAATAAGCACATTACGTGAACATTTTACAACCTTACATAACGTCACGGATATTAGATGAAAGGGTAAAGTGATACATAGTTTTTATTGACTGTTTGTGTTTGTTTTTTTTAAGTAATCGTTTTGTAATTCAACTGGCCAGTGTTACGAATTTTTATTTTAATATTATATTTAGTGTGCAAATTATTCTCAACACAACACACAGGGTGTTTCTTAACGGACAGATCAACTATTAAAATCATTAGGCTTGTTAAAGAAAAAGAAATGACGGTACGGTTATATTTAAATCGGAAATCTGATTTTTCTAATTTTTTTACAAAAAGTTAAATAATTTTAAAACTATAGAAAATCCGGCAATATACTTTGCGATTAAATTATAGCTTTAGGTCCTTTACCTCCAAAACCGTTAATGCGTCCGTTAAGAATCATCCTGTATAACAAACTTTTAGTTTATTCTTACACCATCGCGGTTTAAAACCGTTACAAAATAACAACATAAAAAGTCTAATAAAACTTCATTAAAACATTGCTGTAGTATAAAAAAACGCTCAATGGATTTATCGAAATCCCGTTGTAAGCGCAAAAAAATCGTTAATACGGTGTAGATTTTTTTATTATTTTTTTCTACTTCGTATTATAAACGCTCTCATTTCACAAAAAAGGCAAAGATCATGCACATTCAGCCACGAGAAAACATTCTTTTTTTAAAAAACACTTCACTAATTTTACACACTATACGCATTACCCGCCAAAATTCACAGACAAAATAAACAAAATGGCGTCGTTTCGAAACAACTGACGCGCAACGATTTAAATTACGAACTAATTTTCCTAATTGACGCGTTATCTTGTTTGTTTATTGTTTACTTAATAAACGTTAGACATGAAACAGCGACCGATTAGATTAATTCTATAATTTCAAACACATTCGATTATTTCAACAATTTTACTTTATTATACCACAATTTACTTCATTGATGAAAATTGTCCACATCCTTTAGCATTGAATTATAAAATTAAATCGAATTGCGAGATGGAACTAACGAGTTCATAATTTTCTCAATGATTTATTCGAAAAACAACTAAAATTATTATCGCCAATAAACTAACAATAGTGATCTAGCATATATTAGCTTTCACCCGCGACTCCGTCCGCGTGAAATTAAAAAATAATACACAACATAGCCTATGTTACTCATTCACAACGTAGATTTTTAATGGTAAAAGATTTTTTTAAATCGGCGCAGTAGTTTTTGAGTTATTTCATTACAAACAAACAAAGTTTTCCTCTTTATAATATTAGTATAGGTTCCAACACATGTATATCAAAACCTCTGTATAATTCCATCCAAACTTAATAAAGGCTCGTCATTAAACACATGACTGTCTAGAACAATTTTTGGTATAACAAACTCGCAAACGACGAGCTCAAATACTGTTTGAATCTTATTATACACGGACACAAAGACGTCATTAACACTAGGAATTAGCCGCTACTTCGTTCGGGCCTATTAAAAAAACAAAAGTGCGTGTTGTTCCAAACCATGTTCATCTGTGCCAAATCATATGAAGCGTCGAGACGTTTTTAAAACAAGTAGTAACAAACATCCATCTAAACTTTCGTATATATAATATTAGTAATACTAGCTGTTGCTCGCGACTTCGTCCCCTTGGTATAAGAAAACATACAACTATATAAATAACAAAAACCTACGTATTACGACAACTAGACATTTCTCGAGGATGAACCTTATCCCATGTGTAGTCCAGACTTTGTTTTATATCTGTGCCAAATTTCAATAAGATATGTTGAACCGTTGAATGATCGAGTAAACAGTAAAACTTAATTAACGAATCCCAAGGGAACCATAAAAAGTAGCCTATGTGTTCTTCCAGACTATGCTCTAAACATGTGCCAAATTTCATGGTGATCCGTTAGCCGTTTAGGCTACAAACGCTAACAAACATACATCAATTTAAACGTTCGTATTTATAATATTAGTATCTAGTTGTTCCCGTGCGAGTTCAGCCGCATGAAATTATGAAATTTTTATTTTATTGTTTACATTTGTCAAATTGCAAATGCCAAAATGACATGTCATGATGACAACCTTGCTTCCTTGATGTTGACAGCAACTTATGGTCTCTTTCCCATATTAGGATTTTATGCAAAATATTTACCAACTAAGTTTAATGGCGTGAAAATGTATAGCCTAAAGCGTGACGTAAGTGTAGGGCTTTTAATTAGGCAATAAAGAAGTGTGTGTTAACGCTTTATTATAATAGTATAGATACTGATAGTTCATTCATACATATACAGTCTTTATCTTATACGTCACCGATAACCCGTAACCCGGCATTGCGTGAAACTTCCTTGTTGATTGAACACTTCATAATTAGTATTAACGAGCTGTTGCCCGCGACTTCGTCCGCGTGGTATTAGAAAACATACAAACTATATGAATTACAAAAAGTTACGTATCCCTCGGGAACCGGACATTTCTCGGGGATGAAGCTTATCCCATGTGTACGCCAGACTTTGTTTTATATCTGTGCCAAATTTCAATACGATATGTTGAACCGTTGCAGTATGATCGAGTAAACATTAAAAAACTAAATTAATGAATCCCACGGGAACCGTTACTATTCCCGGGATAAAAAGTAGCCTATGTGTTCTTCCAGACTATGCTCTAAACCTGTGCCAAATTTCATAGAGATCCGTTCAGCCGTTTAGGCTACAAACGCTAACATCCATCCATCCATCCATCCATCCATCCATCTATCCATCCATCCATCTAAACTTTCGCATTTATAATATTAGTATTAGTATTAAATTAGTATTAATTGGAGATCTATTTTACGTTCTTTGATCAAACGTGTTTTAGTAAAAACTCAAAAGGATACGTTTTACCTTGTGTACTTTATATTATACTGGCTTTTGCTCGCGATTCCGTTCGCGTGGAATTGAAAAAAAAATCCTATGTGTTCATTCTGTGTGCAAATTTCATCGAAAACCATTCAGCATAGGCTACGAACTCTAACAAACATCCATCCATCTAAATTTTCACATTTATAATATTAGTAAGAAGTAAGATTATAATTTGGAAAGTTTGGATGGATGGATAGTAACCTCAGAACAGCTCCAAGGATGTGGATGCCGGCGGTATAGATGTAGAACATAGTCTGGAAGAATACGTAGGTTATTTTTTTTTAATTGCCCGCAATAGTCGTTGGCGAGAACAAGTTAATTTACATTGCTTGAAACAGAACGTAATAGTATAATAATGGCTAAATTAATAAAAATTATTAGATCAAGTATGAAATGGGTAACAGAACAAATCTAAGACAAAATTAGACCCTTTGATTCAACCCTAATATTGCAAATATTGGTTCCTAGTGTTATAAAGCGCCTACTAAAGTAGGTAGGTAGTACAGTTAAAACTGTCAGGCAAACTTAAAACAAATTTGAATTGCTATTTAATTTTCAAAGGGGCTATTGTTTAATAATATATGTATTAACATTAAATTCTTTCTACATCCAGAGTCGCTGAACCTTCGCGTCATAGGTCCTGTAGCGAGCATCCGAGAGTCATCATTGGTCGACGAATACGGCACTGAATTGTCTAAACTACCGTTCAGGTAAGTGTATTTACAACGTTATTACAAAAACTGTGGGTTTGTACTGCTAAACCACTCGTCTATACTAATATTATAAAGAGGAAAATTAGTACAGAATACTGAAAAATTAGGCCGATTTTTATAAAAAAAAAAAACGTTATGTTACTAATTCACAAAGACGAACTTGCGAGCAAGAGTTAGTTATTTTTGTATCGAAATTACTCAAAAACTATTGGGCCAATTTCAAAAATTCTTTCACCATTAAAAAGCTACGTTACTGTGTTACTTAGTCTATATTCTTCAATATATTTAAATCCACGCAAAGTCGCGAGCTAGAGCTAGTAATATTTGTCAATTCTACAGCTACCCTGCTTCATCAAACACCGACCCTGCGCACACAAACCTCGTAACTGAGATAGAAGAGGAGGTACCTTTACCCAAAATCAAAGTATCACGTGTCTACGCCAAGATACTAGGAAGGAATGTACAAGGTAAGTTATATAGTTATATAGCAAGCGGCCACCTGAATCCGCCAAAATGAAGAAGCGACCACTGCCCATAGACATCCGCAATTGCAGATACGTTGCCTACCGTTATTCGACAAAGGAGAAGAAGCACATCTATGCATCTCCTCCTCCGTCAAATCCACTTCCCCTTCACATCCACTCCTTATAAGAAAAGGGTGGTAAAGAGAAAGGAATTTAAATTAGGCCTCCGGCACCACACTCATCATTCGAAACACGGAATTGCTTCCATTTCACGCCTGTCTTCTGTGTGGTCGTGGTATTACACCGGGCGTGCCGGCCCTTTCGCCCGCGACTCCGTTTTCGTTGGATTGAAAAAAACAAATTGAGTAGCCTATGTGTTCTTCCAGACTATACTCTACATATATACCAAATTTCATCCAAATCCGTTCAGCAGTTTAGGCTACAAACTCTAACAAACATCCATCTAAACTTTCACATTTATAATATTAGTATAATACAACATTGAGCATCTGCGGCTCATCGCTTTAAGCACTTGACTTGTAATTCTTGGGTTCGAATCCATGTACCAATTTGATTTTCGAATTTTCATATGTACATAATTTACCCGACGTTCTTACGGTGAAGGAAAACATCGTGATGCACATATCGGCGAAGAAATTCAAAGATATGTGTGAAGTCAAACAACTCGCAGTGCAGCGTGGTTGACTATGGCCGTGTCACTAACTTAGAACAGGCTCGGAGCTGGAAGTATAGCTTACGTTGAAAACAATCATACTAATATTATAAATGCGAAAGTTCGGATGGATGGATATTTGTTAGAGTTTGTAGCATACACTGCTAAACGTATCTGGTAATCAAAATTTGGCATAGATGTAGAGGATAATCTGAACACATAGGCTAGTTTACTTTAATTTTTTAATTTCACGCGGACTGAGTCGCATGCGAAAGCTTGTCATCTATACTATTATAATAAAGCGTAAACACACACTTCTTTGTTGCCTAAGATGTCAGCAATTACAGCATGTTTTTGAATAATTCTTTTTTAAAAAAAAGCCCTACACTTACGTCACGCTTTAGGCTATATTTTTCACGCCAATAAAATTAGGGGGTAAATGTTTTGGATAAAAACCCTAATATGGGAAAGAGACCATAACTGGCTGCCAACATCAAGGAAGCTAGGTTGTCAAGGTTTGTCGTGTCATGTCATTTTGACATTTGCTATTGATAATTTGACAAATGCAAACAATAAAATAAAATTTTCATATTTTACATGCGGATGAAGCCTCACGGGAACAGCTACTTAAAAATACAAACATTTTTATAATCTATATATCTTTGTTTTCCAGGGGATCCCTTCATGAGGTTCTCAGGACCTATAGACCAGGAGATAGAAGTAAGAAACGGCAGATCTGCAGTCATCTTCCCAAATTCCAACAATGATTTACAGGGGGCAGAAGAAGAAAATATATACATGCATAAAATGCGTGTAAACGAGACAAACGCAATGCCGTATGGTCGGACTTCTCGGGTAAGAGGCAACACAAATTAAAGTATTTTTATGGATGGTAAAAATATTATAAAAGTATAACATAACGCCATCTATTGAAATAAAAATTCACCAATTTGATTTACTAAGAACTCATGCTTTCTATAATGTATTGTAGAAAACACTTTTTGTAAAATGGTTAAGCAACCGCTGCCCATATACATCCGCAACTGCAGATGCGTTGCCCACCCTTATCCGACGGATGAAGGAAACGCACATAAAGAGGATATCTCCCCTTCCTATGTATCTCCTCCTCCATCAAATCCAGTTCCCCTTCCCAACCTCTCCTTATAAGAAAAGGGGGTAAAGAGAAAGGGACTTAAATTAGGCCTCCGGTACCACATTTATCAGACGAAACACTGAATTGCTTCCATTTCACGCCTGTCTTCTGTGTGGTCGTGGTATTACACCGGGCGTGCCGGCCTATTCGTGCTAAGATGTTAAAGCGGGCACTACCACTGATAAATTATATCGAGTTCGTACAATCAGAGAATTTGTCAGTGTACCACTTTAATAAACAGAACGTTTTGTACACAAGAGGAAAGTATGTATGTATTTGATTCACGCAAAAACTACTGGGCCGATTTTAAAAATTCTTCCACCATTAGAAAAGTAATTAACTGTTAGTAACATAGACTATGTTTTGTATTATTTACTAATTTCACGCAGGCGAAGTCGCGAGCAAAAACTAGTTATTAATAATGAGTGTTATATTCCAGGTAGTACAACAAGGTACACTTGTGACAGCGCTAATGATTGGACTGGGGTCAAGATTGTACGGTTCACCGGGGGACAATCTTCAGGTAAACTGGAATTCCCAAAGTGGTTTATAACCCAAATAGTCAGCTACAGCTACAGTTGGTGCATAAACATGTATATTTACTGACATATAGAAACTTTTATATATTTTCGATTTCAAATGAACGTATATCTGTATGAATCCGACCAATAACACATGTAAATGGGAAAGTGTGTAGATTTAATTTATTTTTAATTAATAAAAATGAGGAAAAAGGGTACAATGTCTTACAAAAATACGATGTCTTACAATTAAAAAAAGATTAAAAAGGTTTATTTATATAGTTACAAAATTTGTTTTAACATAATTGTGGTCGATCGCCTGGTTCCTACACTAGGCTCTAGGCCCGTCTTGTAGGAGCCAGGGTTCTTCTGTCTTGTGCTAGTTTTTTTTTAGAACACTAATATATATCTAAACAAATTTACAATAAAAAAGGTAAGTTGTTTGTGAAATCAAATGTTACTACGTATGTGTGTGTGTGTGAATGTTTGTATGAAGATTAATTTAATGTTAAGTTAACTTATCTATAGTTTTTTTTATTTTTTTTTTATCCTTTATGTCTGCAGATAAACTGTTGAATACATAGGGTGTATTCCCAGTGTTCTATCACTTATATAGATTATGTTACCTAGCCACCATATATTTACCTGAATATCATACTATATAAATGCGAAATTTAAGATGGATGAATGGATGTTTAGAGTTTGTAGCCTAAACAGCTGAACGAATAACTATGAAATTTGACATAGATGTAGAGGATAGTCTGGAAGAATACATTGGCTTTTTGCATTTGTTTTTTTTAATTCCGCGCGGACGGAGTCGCGGGCGAAAGCTAGTTGATATATATTTTTGTCGCCAAACACCTAATACTCCTACGCATACTAATTCGTTGATTAAATTCTAGTTACACTTCGAAGTGAGCAACTACAGGGAACAAGCTGTAAGATTCAGTTTTGGGGCAACCGGAGAACTAAGATTCCTTAGAAGCATTGAACCTTCTTCGTAAGTATTCGGTACTTCAAATCCACCTTAACATTTCCCGAACACTTGTCTGTTAAAATGGACAGGATATAAGTCGTTATTTTGTGCCTATTTGTTGTTTGCCCTCTCACCTTTCGCGGTTAGTGGGGTTGATGAGAATGCATGATGATGCATTTATACATCAGTCTTCTCTTTCGTACCCAATAGATATAAAAAAGATTTTTTTTCTTTATTTTTCCTTTGATCTATGTTCAATGTACTACCCGTTTCAATATAGGGAATTTAAAAAGAAAAAAATCATGCATTTAAGGGTTAATAGATATGGAACTGCCATTTATATCTACAGCAATGCCGTCATATGCATTTAAAGACATATCTATTTGTATAGATCAATGTCCCCGACTGACAGAACTTTAAGTCTAATCAATTGTCTCCCTACACTTACGACACGTTTTAGGCTTTACATTTTCACGCTTTTATACTTGGGGTATAAATAAATTGGGAAAAAACCTTAATGTGAGAAAGGGACCATAAACTACAAACTGCCAACAAGAAGGAAGCAAGGTTGCTATTATTTGTCATCATGTCTTGTCATTTTGACATTCGCAATTAATTTGACAAATGTAAACAATAAAATAAAATTTTCATAATTTCATGCAGATGAAGCTGCTTGGGAACAGCCAATTCTTCATATTATATAAATGCCTACTAATATGCTATTACTGTATCTTCTAGACAAACAATACAGCCAGGACAGACCCTAAATGTGATAGTAAACCTCATCATCTCGACAGCAGCGCAGCCAGGAGTCAGGGATTTCATCACATTCACTGCATATGGTAATTATAACCGTCCAAACAAGTTGTGCAAAATTGTATTGCCGTGCATTGCAAAAACCGTGACAATACAAGTGTTATTATTGTTACTTTAACTATATTATTAAGTGTGATCAAAAAATCATACAAATCTAAACTTAAAACTTTTTAAAACTACCCTACAAACTTCCCATTAATAATTAGATGCCCAAATACAATAGCAAATCTTCAAAACTTTCAGTCATAAAAGAGTTTACGTTTTTCCAACTATCCACTTTCAAACTACCCTCATCCATCAGGTTTGGATCAAATATCTATCTCCGCGTACGTCTACGTAGTCAGTCCTAATGAGAGCCAAGTGGACACATGGGCACCAGAAGTGAGACACAGCTATCAAGGACATTGTCTTGGAAGGATGGGCAGCGATTGTGCGGAGTACACTTGGTCTGCTACAATATACGCTAGAGATAGCGGAGGTAAGACCATCATCATCTTGCCCCTATACTAAGGAAAATATGTGCAATCATTTGGAATTATTGCATACATTTGTTTTTTTATGTCTTGAACAATATGAGTGCAAATATTGAACTGATTTTATGATTAAAATAGTAACTAAAATTCGAATTTATGATAATAATAAATATAATGGATTTTTTTAAACCAAGTAGTTCATGAATTTAATCATTACCTTATGTTATTATATCAAAAATATAAAGCTTTCTTCTTGATATTATCATCTATACTGATAGGAAAGATTTGTATTTTTGTATCTATTGAAATAACTCAAAAACTACTGGGCCAATTTTGAAATTTCTTTCACTACTAAAAACCTAAGTTAACAAATCACTAGGTCACATTTTTATTTCACGTAGACAACGAGCAACAGCTAGTACATTAACACAGATAAAGAAAAATTCTCAAAAATCTCTAAACATCCTGTATTCTAGGTCTACTGCGGATCACATCAACACCTCTAGGTCTCACCTCAGCACAGGACAGTACCTTCATATCTGGCACTAGAGAGGAAGTGGTCACCGTGTACAGATCGAACTGCTGCAGTACGAGGGTCGTTGTCAACGCTATTGATATCTTCGGCAACACTAATAGCTACACAATGGATATATCCAGTAAGAACATGTCTATTACAGTCTTAGGTAACTTTTATTGCAGATTCAGAAGGTATAAATGTCACGTCGGTTCACCTCAGAGCGTCGGTGACTTAGTGGTTTGAACACTTGACTTGTAATCTATAGGTCTTGGGTTCGAATCCCGCTGTACCAATGTGATTTTCGATTTTTCGAATTTTCATATGTACATAATTTACCCGACGTTCTTACCGTGAAGGAAAACATCGTGATGCAACCTGCATATATAGGCGAAGAAATTCAAAGATATGTGTGAAGTCAACCAACCCGCAGTGCAGCGTGGTTGACTATGGCCTAGTCACCCCTTATTAGGGTAGGCTCCGAGCCCCTCGGTGGGGACGTATAGTGAGCTGGTGATGATAGATGTCACTTCACTTGAGTCAGTTTTCAAACTAACACTATCTATTGATAGCCTCAAAACACACATGTCAATAGAATTAATTGTATTTAAATTAACTGCCATTATATCAATAAAAAATTAAATGTGTATAAAAGATTAGCTTTCGCCCGCGACTCCGTCTGCGTAGACTTGAAAAAAAACAACAGTGAATAGCCCGGGTGTTCTTCCAGACTATCTTCTACATCTATGCCAAATTTCGTCAAAATCCATTCAGCTGTTTAGGCTACATATATATATTAGTAAGAAGTAAGATGTAGCTTATTATGATTTTGCATTTTTTTTATTGCATGCCAATACAAAAACACAAGACAACACTAAACTTGACAACTGATGTAGCACCTATCAGAGAAAGTACCGATTACATTTACTTAAAAAACTTTACAAAATCGAACAACACACTGTGTACTATTGTGTTTCTACCTCTACAAAGCTTGATCACATTAGAATCACCCTGTATGTAAGCTTTTTGGAGTGGTAGTGTCCGCTTTAACATCTTAGCACGAATGGGCCGGCACGCCCGTTGTAATACCACGACCACACAGAAGATATGCGTGAAATGGAAGCAATTCCGTGTTTCGTCTGATGAGTGTGGTGCCAGAGGCCTAATTGAAGTCCCTTTCTCTTTACCAGCCTTTTCTTATTGGGAGAGGTTGGGAAGAGGAAGTGGATTTGACGGTGGAGGACATGCATAGGAAGGGGAAATATCCTCTTTATGTGCGTCTCCTCCTCTGTCGTATAAGGGTAGGCAACGCATCTGCAATTGCGGATGTCTATGGGCAGCGGTCGCTTCGCCATTTTGGCGGTTTCAGGTGGCCGCTTGCTCGTTTGCCACCTTATGTTATAAAAAAAAAAAGCTTATATTTTAAATGCTTTCAGATTACATCACTGATGCGGGGATAGCTGCCATAGTCCTCGGAGTGTTACTAATTATAGCACTGATAGCTATTGTCATATTCCTCATAACTTGGTGCGTTAGGAAACGTAAATCATCAAGAGAACTACCTTCTTATACCACTAGGAATACTTAAATGCACTTGAATATGTAACACATTGATTTTAATTCACCACTTGATTGAAGAAAATAAAAAGCCTACTGTACAGTCAGCTACACAAATATGTATTTATTTATTAATTTTATGTAGATACTTTTGGTATAAAAAATTGTAAGCATCCATAACATGTAATTGTGGTAGAAGGTATATTCATATGAATACATATTTAAAACTGAATTCGTAAGTGATTTTTGCACTTTACTTACATATTTATTCAGCTGACTGTACTAAACATTGCATTTTAAAATCTATCATAACTGAATGCACATATAAATCTTTGATATATTTTAACTATCGAAGATATAGAAAAAACGCTCTCCCACTGATCTATATAAATGGATTTCATATCCCCATATTCATACCCCCTACCTTTTTTTTTAACGTGGGGAAATGCCTAACACATACCACCCTTGCAGGGACAAGGGTGGTTATATCGGATTTGCGCCGACTAAAACCCCACGGTGGCCTCCAACTGCCATAATAAGGAGCCGCGGGATCTCCAAATACCACATATCATATCCTCTACCATATCCTACTCCCGTCTCATCCAATCTCATCCTCCAAATAACTCTATCATATGTCATCTCAGTCATCACTCCCTTCACACTTCACACCATCCATCTCTTTCTATGTCTACCTCTACCAGTGTACCACATTCATAACTAACATCCTTCTTGTTACATAAAATTAATTCTCTGTTATTACTTCCACTTCTCACTACACCGATAGCGAAAACCAAATAGACACAAAATACCATGTTCTTCCACTTATAGAGGTCAGTGGAAGCACTTTTTTAAATCAATGTGTTAATTATCCATAAAAGGGATTAAAAATGTAATAAAATAGTATTATTTAAGTATGTGATAAATATTTTTTTTAATACTGGCAGCATAATAACTATAGCCATAATAAGAAAAAAATTACATATAAGCGTAATAATTAAAAGTATTATTAAAAAGCTACAAAATTCTATTATGATTATTTGTAATTTAAAACTCTTTTTTTAATATTTTTGTATCGGACCATTTTTTTGTACGATTTTCATCTTTGATACAGTATGATTTTTTTTAGTATTTTTGATTCACATGTTAATTTGAAATTCCGTTTTTAAATTATTACTTTATAAAAATCTACAAATTTATAGTAATTATGGAAAATGGTAATTATTAAGTCACTAATTAACTGTAAAACTATAAGTTACACATTATAATTTATGTTTAATTTAATAAATTCTATATTAAGCAATTCTTATAAGTTACCTAAGTTTAAATATAGAAAAAATTATTATGTAATGCACAAAAATGTGGTTAAAAAAAACTGGACACTTCGTAATTTGGAACATCCTGTATAAACAATTCATATCCCAGTATCCATATATCACTAATATACTAAAATTAATTAAAAAGATATGTTTTTTCCATAGAATATTGTAAAGTATAAAATAATTACAGGGTGGCAATAACAAGCAATTTATCTATTTTAAGCAAATTTACACATAATTGCCTGTCACAACAAATTGTAAACTGTCTAACAATCCAATGATTTAGTGACGTTTTTTTAAGCTATCTTAACCTCTATCAGCCAGTAGTGGGACAGGCCTTAAATCTGCTATCACAAGTGTCAAAATATACAATCGAAATTATAGCAATTCATAAAAAGATGGCTCCTACGTAAATTATTGTATGTTTAAAATCCGAAGATTGACCATTCAAGTATGAAGTTTAGTTTAATATTGTAACACACATCTATAGACTACACTAATATTATAAATAGGAGAGATTTGTATTTTGGTATGTATTACAATACATCAAAACTAACTGGGCCGATTTTAAAAATCCTTTCACCATTATGCTATGTTACCAGTGAGTAACATAGGCTGTGTTGTTTTTATCCAATTTTATTTAAATTAATCTTATTTATTTTAGTAAATATGTCAATAAACCCGAAAATACAAATTTAAATAAAACTAATTTATGAAATAACCAATAACCCTGTATATGGGAATACAAAAATTTCCTCTTCATAATATTTGTATAGACAACAAAGATCTACAGTTCTTTGAAGTTTTATGTTGAAATTTACACAGAAATCAGTATTAAAGTTAATCAAAAAAAGCCTAAGTTAGATGTGATAAAAGTCTTTAAAAGATGACAAGGCATAAATCGTAAAATTGTGACTTACAACAGTTTACATAGGAGCCCTCAATTTGTTAAATGTGTGGCTGTTATTGTATCACTGTTACGGGTAGTACAATATGTTAATTTAAGACTTGAGCCATAAATGTTTATTTTGTATAATTAAAAAAATTAATTAACTAAATTCGTTTTAATTACCTAATAATATATCATCTAACAATTGTAGAAATAGATTATTTTATCTAAGAGTTTAATATTGATCAATAACTTTCTCTCATTCATTCTAATTATAAGCTAAAGCTAAATTCATTCTTTTCTAAGCGCCAACAACCTAATGGTTTATGGTGGGGTCTACCAATCTTGTGGTCGAGGGTTCAAATCCCACCAGTCGACTGTGAACCATATACTACCACAAGCCTAGAGCTTAGTTGGAATGGTTAAAGGAAAGATTGGTATATTAATAAAAATCTACTACTATTAAAAAAAATATTAAAAAAATCAAAGGCTATAACCATTTAGTATGTCTCTCTCTTAGTGCCTCTCCATTAATGGAGGTTGGCCGTCAGCTCAGCGAACTTTTCCCAGTCTTGTGTCAGGCGAAATAGGTGTTTTACACTGGCAATATTCGTCCACTCACTCACTTAGTATGTACACTTAGGTAAAGGTCATAAATTCAGACTTATTTCTAGACTTGCCGGAAACTTCATCTGCATGTAATTAAAACATACTATGAAGCCTTTGTGTTATTCCAGACTATATACTACATCTAGCTTTCGCCCGCGACTCTGTCTGCGTGGAATTTTAAAAAAAAGACAGTTAGTTCCTATGTGTTCTTTCAGACTATCCTCTACATTTGTACCAAATTTCATCAAAATCCGTTAAGCCATTCAACTCTAAAAAACATCCATCCATGCATCTAAACTTTCACATTTATAATATTAGTATGATTGTACCAAATTTCATCAAGATCCTATGAAACTCTCTTGAGGTAACTTTCACATTTATAACATAAGTAGCTAAAAGTTACTAAGAAGTCTATGTGTTTTTGCAAACTATTTTTTACATATGTACCAAATTTCATTAAGATCTATTAAGGCTTTCCGGTGATATCTCCTAACAAACATTAATTCATCTAAACTCTTACATTTATAATATTATTATGGTTACTTCTTATGAAGTAACTTGAAAAAGTTGTGATAGCGAAATTATCAAAATATAACCAAAAAGTGATATATTAAGATTGAAATACAAGAAAAGTATGCAATTTAATGTATCTTATACTTTATTCATTATGGAAATGTCTAAATTATAAGAACAATTTAGTTTAGAGAGTGCAAAAAAACCAACAGTGTTTTAAACATGACTAGTACCACCTGGATTCAAGGAAAACAAAACAACTGGTGTCCATAGACATCTGGATTGCAGATAAATTTCCCTACCCTTAATTAATGGAGACACATAAAGGATATTTAACCTTCCTCTGTTTTTCCTTCAAAGTCAAATCCAGTCTCTTTACCTATCCTTATTAGGTTTTTGATCCAAACATTTGATGGGGAAAAAATCTATTGATTGAATAAATCAACATTGTAATGAGTATGAAGTGGACCTTCTGTAAGTAGACATATGAATAAAACTTTTTATTCTTTGTTAGTTACTTACTATTATTTCATCAAACAGTTGACACACATTATAACCAAGGTTTTTGTTTAAATTAAATTCAGGCACGAAGCCACTCTTAAATGGTGCGTTTTTACACGTTTTATATAGAAATGACGACATTACAAATGATTGGTAAAGACCAATATAAATATTAGATAACTTAGTTATTTGAACAAAAATACACGAGTCACCCACGCGAAACGATATCCAAAAGATAAAATATCGACGCGAAAATCATTATATGTCGAAATTAATTGCGAATATACGCGATAATCGACAATTTCGCGAAAACTGACAGTTGTACTACGAAAGGGAAACATTTTTTTCTATGAATATTTTCGTGCTTAAGTCAAGGTTGAACGTTTTTATACAACGTACTATGATGGAAATAGAACTCACCTTGTCTTGTGATCAGTTCTTGGTTCGGAACGGCGGGCAACAGGACTGCATTATGCGTCAAATCTTCTAAAGAGACACCAATCACGGCGGTAGACAATAGCGGATTTTTCACCACATTCCTTGACGCGTGATCACCAAAGCCTCTATCGGACATTTCCGTGTTTTGTATTTTAACAGTTTTAATCGATATTTTCGCGAATTTTCACATTGGGAAATACACAAAAAACAAATTAAATTATTGAGAATTACGTGTCACTTGCATATTTTGGTTTGACATTGACAAAATGTCAATCGTTCGGTAATGGGGATGTTTCCTAATGTTACAAATCCAAATAAAGTTATGTGTAATATTTTAAAGACAGCATTTTAAAACCTATAATAACATTTAGAGACCTTGAATGTTTGTCTCAAATTAAATATAAATTAATAACGCTGCAATATTTTTTACCCTCCATTACTCGATCTCAAACACCAATCAAAGCTCGGTGACGTCACTTCTTCGCATATAACATGGCAGTGTGACCAACTGCAGTGAATGTCAGTGCATTTTGTAGTTATAATTTTTTTAAATGATTATAAGAATTGAGTTTTCGTATGTTATATTATGAAGACTCCATTATTAAGTGTTTTTATATTTACGACATAGTATACGAGCAAATTTTTCGATCAATATGACAAAAAAAATAGTAAAAGTTATTTGAGTAGCTAATATTCAATTTACGTCTGGTCACATTGAATCAGCTGTTGTCAGTATTTGTCACAACTTAAAATCCAAACTTTGTAATCATAATAAAGTACTCGTAGGCTATTAGTTAAAAAAAAACGAATGGGATGGCAGAGATTCTGTGAATCTCTCTCTCCCCGTACCTCTCCCACCATCATTTG